TATTTGGCGACTATAATTTATAGCAATATATAATTATGGTTGGAATTCTTATTTTTATAATTATTATTACAATAATATTAGTAAATATAACCTTATATGCATAGATCTTTCAATTATGGTTATTTTCATCATATAGTATATTTATAGATTAAGCCCGATTTTCACTATCGGTCAAGTCACGGTCCGATCACGGTCCAGTAAAAAAATCGTTGTCATTAAATTCAATGTTTTTTCGAGTTTGCATTCACACTGCCAGTCACGGTCGATCGTCGGTCGGCAGTGTGAATGCAAACTCGAAAAAGCATTAAATTTAAAGGCAACAATTTTTGACCGGACTGTGACTTGACCAATAGTGAGAATCCGGGCTTTATCTATACATAAATCACAGGTATACGGTTGAATAAATGCATGTTAAAACAGATGACAAAACAGTAATGTAGTATTGAGTCAGCTATAATTCGTATTGTTAAAATAACTATAAAAATGTATAGTCGACACCAAAAATAATTAAAATTATAGTGAAATTGTGATAACTGCAACTATTTTTTTCTCTCAGTGAGTGCGGTGATCACATGCTAAGAATTTTTGATTCTTTGAACTCCTTATTCCGCGATTATCGATAGACGCAACTCCGATAGACGATGGATCCTCGAATCTTCTCTTTGCGATACCTACGAACGAATGTCAATTAATCATTAATTAAGGTCATCACGGCCTTGCGAGCCTCGTCACTCGTGAGGCAAAGACAAGCTCGGTGGTTGAACGGAGACGAGGAAAATGCAATTTCTTGGTCAACTGCTTGACCAAGCTAGCACGTGTCACGGGTGTAACGTAAGCGGCTTACGTTGTCCAGCTGTAAATAAGACTTAAAAGTCTACGTCAGCGTGGCGTCGTGCATCCGCATTAATAAAGAAGAAACGACTCCATCGTGCGCGTTACCAGGCTCAACTTCGCTATGCTCTTCATTATAGCATTTTGCGCGTGCTTCTTATTCTGCAATATGTTATGTGTTTGTATATTTATCTATCGATGAGACTGCTCTTTTAACAAAAAAAGACACGTACCAATTACACAATGTCTCAGACGTAATAATAATAAAGGAAAAATAATTGTAACTTGTTAGTTTTCGAGATCGCAGCTTTTTATTGATGAATAAGTATAAGTACTCGTGACGCGTATAAAAAGTATCGTGGAATCCGGGTCTTTATATTCTCTATTCCAAGAAAATGACTAATTCGTTTCGAAAGTATATAACCCACAAATAATATACAATGAAACGAAACATAAGAATGCACGCCTTGCATTCTTGATATTTAAAACAAGCGTGAAAGCGAAAGGCGGACACTCTTGCAGATAATTCGATTTATTATTTTATAAATAGCATTAAAAACGACATTAAACACTTCTGCATTAAATGTCGCAGTTTAATTTAGAATAAACGTGACGTAACATATTTATTTTAAAATTAAGTAATGAGATTAGATCTTTGCTCGTATTCTTTCCAAAACAAATGATTGTATTATTCTCTCTATATTTTGACGAATATTTTTCTCTATTATTGAAATGTATTTCTGAAAATAAATGTTCTTTTTCGGGTTCTCCGACGAATACCGATGAATTAGGTCATGCGGAGCGGTTTAACAAGCGTCGTTTCTGTCGTGATATATTTCTTTAACTGGATTTATCGCTGCGACGTGTTATTAAGTCACTGGTTCTCGAAGCAAAAACACGAGCGCACGGTTCACCTAGTAAAATAATAGAAAGCGATCTTAACCCACAATCTCATAATTGCCGTGTTATTAGACCAATTAGAAACGACGCGTATTCATCTCGGCGATCTTGTGCATCGCAATGTTGCTTAATCCCAAAGATTATCGTTAATTTTGTACAAACACATCTATTGAAACCGATAGAAAGCGTATCTTATAATTCTTTTACGATCGAGCTCTGGCATTTTTTATTGTTCCTTACTTCTTCTCTATTCTTCACCACTTCTCTCGCTCTACCGCCGTCACATTCGTGACCTCACGGTAGTGTGCAAATATATCAACGTATATAAAACTTATCTCTCGTTTTTTTTCTGCCTTGATACTGTTTAAAGCGTCAGTTTTACTCCGAAAATTAGCACGAGACTCTGGAATGTGCGACGGAACGATATCGTAATGAACACTCGATTAATCTTTGCGATATTTTTTGCCGAATGTTTTGCTACCCCGGTGGACAGTATAGGAATGGAAGGAGAACAGGGTTGATTAGCCGCAACTTTGTCGCACGCGACGCAGGTGCAGCAGCAGCAGCATCACACCGGACGCCTCTTCGTGGAGAACAACAATCTTTGTAAGATCAAGGTCGCTGGTTTCGTGGGTAAACGTCCTCGAGTCGCCTTGAGAGCCAGTGTGCCCTGTAGACACTCCTCGGCGCTTATCGGCTATTATAGTGTCCCTCCTCCGCACCATTCTGACAATATACCTATATATGGTTTAATGATCCACGCTGTGTCACCTAGAATAGGTGATATCAAATGTCCTTGGTACGTGAAATTATGACCCTCCACGGAGGATTCGTGGTGCTTAGAATTCTGATTGTCGAGAGAGACACGTATCATATATCGATAGAGAAGCATCTCGTAAAACTCTTTATGTAAGCGAAGTTTAGCGAAGATATACAAGTTGGTGAGCGCAGATATCTTCGTGCAATGTCAACCAACGATTCAAAGTATAGCATAATCTTCAATGTTTATAGCATTCACACATAGAGCATTGATTCAAAGTAAATGACGGTCAATTAGCTTCGAATGATACTCAGGTCTTCCTTAATCAATGTGCAAATGTTGACTGTTTAATTATACACTGTTAAATATTAATGGATGAAATGTAAACCAATACTTTAGGTTGAATAATATTTTTTTTATTAAATAAATGAAAAGGGCACAGAGCCATAACAAGATGTTAGTGTCGTAATATTTAATTAGGTCAAATTGACAACTTAAATGTTTCGGCCTGACATTAGGCCATTCTCAGTGTGCAATAAATTAAACAAATTACATCAATAAATAAAAATTAGAGCTGCAGCACACGCATTATTGTATAATTTTTTATCGGAACATTTTATTATTTTTAACTACCGTGTGTGTCGAAATTTATTATTTTAACACAAAACAGTATTATTTTAACGCCATTAGTTTAGTTAAATTAACATTTAGTTAAATTAACGACATATTGAGTAGGAGCACTGGCGACTTATGGGAATAGTTAAAAATGAGTCAAATTAAGTATAATTTGACACTACGAATTTAACAGTGTACATAGAAAAAAATAAGTGTTAAATCAACACTTATATGTATAGATACTCGTATATACGCAACATAATCTTGAAATGAGATTATATTGCATTAAACGAAGAAAACTTGCTTGAATGAAGAATGAAGTCATTTATATGGTTAAACGAAGTTTTAAAAATAGTTCAACCAAGAAAAAAAAGTTGAAATGAAAAGTTAAAGTTTTTATATGTATACACTGAGAAAAAAAATTTGTTAATCCCAAGAAATATTTAATCCAATACGTTCAACTAAACATTTTAGTTAGTTAACTAAACATTAGTTGAATTAATTAATTCTTGATTAAAGAAACTAAATAAATTGTTGAAACAACTAATATTTAGTTAACTAAAATGTTTAGTTGAACGTATCGGACTAAATATTTCTTGGGATTAACAATTTTTTATCTCACAAAATGTAAGAAAATTATAGATTGTTGCGCATACACGAGTATAAGTTATTAAATTTAATTTGACACTTTTTCTGTGTACAGAACGTTTTATACTTGCGATCTTAATTTTAATGACGGCTTTAATCACAATATTACTGCTCGATTAACTTATTACTTATAAAATATATAATTGATTACACTCTTTCCGTAATACATAGATGTTATTGTAAAATGTGGAATCTACGGTTTTGGAGGATAGATAAGACGAGAAAGTTTGAAAAGTATGACCGTACAACCATTCCGTACCGCCCACTCGTTCGTAATCGCAAGCGAAGCCGAAGCATTTGACTTCACAAGACGATTGAGCGTAGGCGTGTCTCGAATCTTATTCGTAAAAAGAGCCGCCATTGCCGGCGTACATTGGTACTCAAGAATTGAAGAGCAGTATTCGATTCATAAAAAGAAAGTATTTACTGCTAAACAACACTTTAGCTAATGCTAATTCGCACGAAATGACTCCAGATACATTCTTCGTGATCAGGATCTGCGAAACTCGTCAGGTGGTTACAGCCGGCACAAAATGCGCAAGTTTCTTTGTACGTAACCAGGTCCGTGAAAATGAGACGGAAGCGAAGATTCGTGGGATCGATAGCTCGCGAATGAAATAAGAGAAAAAAATTGCAATTTATCGATAATTATTTATTAATATTTTCGCGCGCTATATCGTGCGGCTTTTAACACCGTGGACTGTAACAATCCCGCGAGGGGCCGAAACTCCGGTCGACCCTCGTAATCCCACCTTAAGAATCTCTCGTGGAAGGAGGCAGGGAAGAGGGAGAGGCGGCGGAGTCGAGATCTCCGAGTACCGGTGGTGCTCTCGGGCAGCGCGCAAGCGAGAGCGAGAAGTCGCGTCAGCGCGGCGAAGGGTGCCGAGTGAGATGGGGCGAGGGAGAGTGGGATGCTGCGAGCGAAGAAGGCAGGCGAGAGTGGACGGACGGCATGCCACCACCACTCCCATACGCTTCTCTCTCTCGCTCCCTCTCACCTCTTCTTCGTTCGCTCGTACCTCGCGCTCGCTCAATCCTCTCACCTACTCTTCCGTCTAGCGACTTTTACACGCGCGAGCCGGCTTCCCACCCGTAGGGTTTCTATCTCTCTCTCTCTTTCTCTCTCTCTTCCCTGTCTCCTTCTCTCTAAGCTCTCCCCGCGCGCAAGAGAATCGCCGTGAGTCGTGGAGAGTGCGCGAAATGCCAGTGATTCGACGCGACTTGGAGTACGCGCCTCGACGGCGAGACGAAGCGGACGCCGCGCGAATTCGAACGCGCGGACGCGCGTCGAGCCGCCACGCGATTCCGAAGCGTGCTCGGTTTGTGCTTGAGTTTTTTCCGAGACTCTTTTGAAGAAAGAATTTCATTTCGGCGAAGCGATCGCGTGGATGCAACGCGTCAAGTTGGTTTACGCGCGAGTAAATTATTTCGCGTGCTTGCGGCACGAGTAAGAGGTTTTCGCTTGCCGATTGAAAGCGAGTAGAGAGGTGTATGTGTCCGCGAGTTGGTCCACGGCGGGGTAAGGATAGTGATTTTAAACGACCGCCAGAGATTTATGAGTGTCTGAACGGAATGTTCCATTCCCGGCAAGTGTTAACCATTTCAGTAAATATTTGTCAGAATTTTATGGGAATCTTGTGGTGTTAAGTGTATCTTTAGTGTGTAAACAACGAATCACACATATTTAAGCAGTGAAAAACAGTGTATTTTCCTAATACGTATTGCCAAATATAAATTTAATTCGTCTATTGGACGTGACTCTTTTAATATATCTTTTCCTGACTAAGCAGAAAATAAAATAAAATTTAATAAAAGCTTCCTTACACAAAACATGGATTCCACGTAGAGAATCGCACTCAGATTATCGAGAGATCGCGTGGAGAACGGCAGAGGGAGAGGAAAGGGGTGAGAGACAAACGCCGTAATCGTCCGAGGGCGGAGAAAGTATCTGACGAAGTTTCAAGGTGCTTTCGTGGCAGTTAAATCAGTGAGCGAGATATTCGAAGGAAACCAGTTGATGAGATAAGAATCGATTAACGACGAAGTAATAGTGTGATCTAAGAGGAAAAATGTTTAAGTAGTTTGCCGATAAATGATCATCGATGATAACATCGATGTTATGAGTAGGACGCGAGTATAGATAGATATGTCAATTGCAAAAAATATCGAATGTCGCCTTAACAATCTGGAGTTAGCATCAGCTCGAGAGAATTATTTAAATCCAACACAATAATTATAATAAGCAAAAATAGTGATTGTCGGACAAGTCTTATTTGTCTGTGAGAATAAATCACTTTCTCGATACCGAGTGCATTGACTTCAAAGACGCTCGTGCAATTCGCGCTGAATCTTTTCGTATAGAATGATCATTTCGTTCGAACCGAGGGCACGGAAGAAAAGGGAAGAGGAGGGCAATGAGGAAGAGGGAGAAGGAGCGGCGGTGGTGGCGGCGCAGCAGCACGGCGTCGAAAAAGGAAAGCCACGCTGATCATCCACGACTGGAAGACCTCGGCGTTGCACCTTAGCGGACCTTAGCGCAACGGAGAAAGAGGGACGAAAGAGAGAAAGGGAGAGGAAGAGCGAAGAGGAGGATACGGATAGCGAAAGGGCAAGGAGGGCAAGAAGAAAAGAGAAACAAAGAGTAAAGGGACTGAGAAGAAGAAGCAGAGAAAGGAAGCAACGAAGGAGGAGAAAGGAATCCATAAATTCACTTTTGTTTCCACAAAATGCTCTCTTTCGCAAAACCAGGATTACCGAGATTCTTATTGACTTTGCAAACTTCTCCGTAAATTCTCGATCGTAGACGCATAATACTTTTACACTTATAACTCCTTTATACCTCTTATATAGACCTTTGTGATCCGCGAATGCATTCATTAATCTTTGCCACACAAATGTGTATTCGATACCACTTAGAGATAGTATAAATCTGCAGCCATTCTACTTCCGTGAGTCGAGGTTGGTCGCGCTGCCTCATGAGGCCCCTCACCTTCGAGAACCTGAGAAGGCTCGTGAGCCGCAAGAAGGACCGCAACGAGCCCTCCTTCAAGCGCAGCGAGTCCTTCAAGAGGATTTCTATTAGGAAGAGTTATCTGGACCGGGGTAAACGGCGGAATCGTCTCCAGAAGAATCTGGAGCCTGTTGTGAATTCTCCTCCGCAACCAACGACGAATGATAAAATTGTTTCACAACAAATCAAGGAGCAAGAATTAAAAAAGGATCAAGAGCATTCCCTCAATCGCGATTCCATTACCTACGACGAGTGGCTTCAAGGAGTCAGTTCCTCTTCCCGCGAGAAGCTTCACGAAGATCATCTCGAGTCCCTTCAGCATCCTAAAACCAAAGCCACAAAACTTGCCAAGCATACCGACACGGATTCGGTTGCCGAGGATCTGAAAATTCTCGAGCTCGATGCCTCGCCTATTTTGACACCCAAATCTAAATTCTTCGGAATCGTTGCGGAGCTAAGTCGAGACGAGACGACGAATTCGCACGACACTCTTTGGACCCAAGAGTCCTCTGCAGAAGGATCACTCAGTGTCAGCATTAGTCTCGGTAGGATATGGAGGGATGCGGTACCGGTTCCGGCCTCGGTTCCAATATCATCGGCTCCTTCGTATTCTTCTGTTTCGAATTCTTCAGTTCATCATTCTCTCGACAGCGCTCTAAAGGAGAAGAAACCGCAGCCGACTGTCGCGAGAACGGTTTCGGCCCCAGAGAAGCCCGTCAGCAAGGAGACCTCGTCGTCGTCGTCTTTTGGCTTCTCTCTAAGGATCGCTAGATTCGCTGATTTCAGACCGGGGTGACTAGCTTGTCCGTTAAGGATCGATCAGTGAAAATGAGGAAATGATAGAATGTTTTTCCTTGAGCCATTTGTTTCTGCTAAAATCTTTGGTTTTTGTTTGGTAGTCTTTAAATAACTAATTACAATATTCAAACTTGAGGAATTTTGATTATCTGTTGTTTTATACAGCTAAAGAAAGTGCGAATATAATCTGTATTTGATCTGAATTTATGAAAGAGGATAAAAAGAAATTATAATCAATATAATTACATTAATGAAATTTTCTTTGGTTGAACGTGTTTGTGGCAAAATGAATATCTTCATATCGCTCGTATATTTTCACTGATCGATTGAGTCGAATATTGCGCTGTTCAAGGAGCATTCGATTGCAATCGACACTGCTTGGCTTCAGGGTGACGCGAAACGGTCTCTTTCGTCGGAAGACACCAAAGCCATCGCCAAGCGTGAGCACTGAGGGCTACTTCAAACGAACGAGCGCGTCTAGACATTCCAACTCTCGTCGCCGAAGTGGTAAGAGGACTTCTCAACGCGCTAGCAAGAAGAGTCAGCAACCTCCAGCTCGCACCAGCAGTCCGGTATGGTTCGTCCCGCCCGAGAGACGTCGCTCGAGACGTCAACGACGAGTTTGGCGGGAGATCAGATACTTTCCCGATGACGAGGGTCCGATCCTGGAAAGGATTAACGATTGGTCGTCGAATGTGTCAGACGATCAGTTTGACGATCAGAAGCTGTTGCTGTCAGGTGATTTCAATGAGCGTCGAGAAGATGACACCTTGAACTCGATCGTTTCATCGTCCTTGGGCTCTTTCTCGGCGACGTCGTCCTCATCGTCGGCTTGTCCGGCGCCAAAAATTAGCGATTTTAACGAGGATAAGCTGTTCTCCGAGGAGCTAAGAACCAACGGTCTTCTGGTGCGCGGGACCACTTGGAAACTTTCGGCGACAACGACGACGACAGCGACAACGGCAACGACGATGATATCAACTGCGGCGCCGACGAGAACCGTCATTTCTGGAAATTATTTTGCCAGTAGTCAGTTTCTCACCTTTCTAGCCAAGGACGTTGTCAAGGAAAGGTCGAAAAACGAGAGCTCTAACACGGGCTACAGATATCTCTCGTCGACCGACAGTGAGGACGATGACGCTGATGGCTTCAACGAGCGCAGGAAAAATTTTCCGCAGCAACGGCAGTATTTAAAGAGGCAAAAATCGGGACTTAGGAGGAGACCCTTGCGCCGAAAATCGCAGTTGAGAAGAGCGTCCGGTCAACCGGTATTCCTCGTGCGCAAATGCTCATCCTTGAGGAAACGTCCTAGTAAGATCCGAATTATAATTCTATAGGTCGTTCAGGAAAGAGCGATAGTAGCAGAAATAATAGCAAAATTAATTTCTTTTTAATGGAATAACAATTCTAAGGGAATAACAACTCTTTAGTACAAATAGATTACACTTATAGAAGTCTAAGGAAAAGAATAGTAATGTAATAGTAATGTATTATTGGAAAAACGCGCATAAACTTGTCATGCATCTTAATAATCTACGTATAATCTTGGTTATATTTGATACTTATTGAATAACAGGCGACGCAATTGAATCGCAGCGATTACGACCGTGTTGAATCTATTTATCCTTTGCCCGACCGTTACCTCCATCTGCGTCCGACGGCATTAATTGCGCAACATATTTTCCCGCGATCGGTTTCGATGAGCTTCTTGCTCGAACGCGAGCCTGCACGCGTATCGCGATCACGACTCAACGTAGTTCTTACTGCACGGTTTTCGCTGCTTCGAAGGCTGAATTACTTATAACGCGTGGAAATTCCTTGCTTATTTCTTGCGTATTTCTTTAACATTCGAGTCTTAAAGTAAAGAAATGTATTGGAAATAAATTGTTTAATTGTACACTTTGTTACATGTTTGATACAGGTTTATCCACCTTCATTATCTGAATATATAAACATCCATAAAATTCAAGTATAAAATATATATCTAAAGTACAAGCGAGTGTGTGATTTTTCCCGTGGGCAGACTCGTACATCATGCCGCTTTTTCCGAGAAATTGTCACATAGAGACGACGAATACGAACAAGTTTGTCGCATCGACGATATCAAGAATCACTCGAGTGCGCTGATTAGCATAATCGCGATGGCCCGGTTTCGTTTCGCGAACGTAGAAAAATCATGTCTTGGCCGTTAGGATCGATTCTTCGGCGTTTTCTCGAGTTACGAGGCGTGACGAAAGGCGAGTACGCTAACCAGTTTTACATCGTACTCGGCACATGGGCGAGCTGCATCAGCACCGGCCGCCGGCAGCCGAGCGTGTATCGATCTAAAATTCAATCCTGAAAACGTACGTCCGATCTCCGCGACTTATTTTCAGCGATCTTCAACAGATCTTTATGAACATATATCTATACTGTTTTATTTACTATCCTATCTTCTCTAGTTTTATTTGTATCTTCATCTTAGTTTAAGTATTATAGATACCATTAAATACCATTAAATATCTTTATTTAAATGTTTCGTTATTGTACCGTGAATATTACGGATATAATAACGGAGACAGAAGAGAACATGTGTTTCTCGAGAGCAATTCGCCAAGTTTAATGTAATATGTTATAAAATGTAACAACGATTTTGACACTTATACTCGAGATATTAAGAGACGATCTCGCGGGACGTAGTATTAAACTGTTTAAATTATTTCCTGGATTGCATGATTAATTAAGCCGTTTTCCGCTGTTGCAGGAGATATTACGCAGAAGGGTTATGAAAAGAAACGGACGCGTCTACTTCAGCAATACGCCTCGAAGCAGATAGGTGAGTGTTTCGCTTTTCTAGAAATTCATTAAGACTCCCGCAAGTAGAGGCAGCGGGAGATATCATCGCGCGTTATATTCGCGGTGTGCGATACGGAACGGACGAGAAGTCAGCGATGTGAAAATATTATCGCCCCACATGTTTAGTCGCATATTCGATCGATCGATCCCGCATAGAGTCCGTACGTCGATCATACGGTATCAAACATTTTTAGAAAAGACTCAACATTTCGACAGAAATGAGAATTCTTTTTTAATTTTCTCGGTAAAGCTTGCACTAAATTATATCTCATAGTATTTATTCTATACGAAAAAAAAAGTAAATTTATTCGTCCTACAGTTATAGGTGATGCTTTTTCAAACGGAAAACCAACCGCCAGTTTCTAATTCTCGAGTCTTATCTCTCGTCGCATCTTGGTGTGTGTGTGTGCAATGTTGTGCCATCGGGACGCAACAAGCTCGCAATATCAATCGCGTTCCGATTCTCAGGAGACACGCGCCTCATTGTGCGCACAATGGCAAATGCAATTCTCTGTATAAAAGGAAGGGGACGGAGACGCAATCCTCGCGGCGGCACGCGTCACTTCAACACTCGGCATCTTGCAACCTGCAACGCACTACCGCTGCCGGTCTTGTGCCACGCGAAACGCGGAACGCAGGCAGGTCGGGAGAAAATCGAGAGAAAATTGCGATGTAACAGGAAGGATGCGCGATTCCGCGCGTGCGCGTGCGATTTTACCTCTGTTTATTTTACATTCACCGCTTCAAATGGGATTATTTCGTGCTCTACGAAAATCCATACGAGAACGAATTACGGCGCGTTGATCGACGCGTTTCCGCATCGCGGAACGCAAAGTGTAACGCGAATCGTTTCCGAGTTCGCCAACCGGTACCGCAACTGTCGCGGCTGCAGCGAGACTTGGTCTTATCGTCGCGAGAGTTACCGGACACGGAATTGTCCGGACGTTACCACGCGTCATTTGCTGGTTCGTGCAGGCTGCATTCCGCGGACGCATCTCTCGTTGATGCGCCCCGCTGCCTATCGATTTAACCCTTTCACGGTTAGATATTTCTCATTTTTAACCGTTTAGCACAATTGCGATGAAATATTTCTGCTAGCTTAAGTTGTTTTCATTCTTGATCATTTGTTAGAAGAACTTTCGTGACAAGAATGAATCAATAGTTTTTCGTCTTAATGAAGGATGTTCTTTTCATCGAATAAAAGAATGAAAAAGATTAAATTAATTGTAGAAGTTGAAGATCTACAACAGAAAAAAGATATCTCATTAATCCTAGAACACACAGCTTGCAGAGCATCCCGAAAACCCACATGGGCTTCGAAGACCTATGTAACTTTGATAGGCTGGCTGTAACTCTGGTTTAGATTAATATTTTTGGACTCGTTTTTTTTTTATTTTTTAGCTCTGAGATTGGGAATATACCTGAATAGGTTTTAGTATTAAAAAGAGTTTTATTTTATCAGATATGAAGTTAAAACTAAATATTGAAAATAGAGAATTCCGAGTAAGCGAAGTTTCGTCTGGGAGACCCAGTGTGTGTTCTAATAGGATTAAGGTGTTACAGGAGTGTAGCGAACCGAAAAATACAGTATTTTTAAATAGCATTTTTATAGCATCAAACTAGTGGAAAGTAAAAAATGAGTTTTCGATTTTTTGAAATTTCTAAAAGTCTCTTAAATATATCTACAAATCTGAATATAAACTTTGCTATCGTTGCTCATTGCTCTGGAAATCTGCCTACGTTAAAGTAAAATCTTCAATTGGAATTGATGATAGGCAATGTATTTGAAAATCTCGTACATTTCCATGGAGGCACCCCGTATAGTTAGACGGACGCGCCTTTGCGCCCGCAGCTGCGATCGGTAGAACCGCTGCAATCGGCTTGCAGTTTAACTGTACCTGCACGCGGAAGAAGCGCTTCCGCGTTATCCGCTCGTTATATGCTACGTGCATCTGCCATTGTCGTGGACGCGCGAGTCGAACTAGCGACAGTTTTCTAGCACGGTATGGCCAAGTCGAATAACGGGAAGTTTTTTTACATATAAATCTATCGTGCGATTCAGGCGAAACGTAGTCTCTATATGATTAATTTTTAAGATAAGGCGAATCATTGTGACAGCATTGCACACCGCCAAATGATGCGTCGCGAGAGGAAGTCGACTGCGTATCCGTATCCGTCTAAAAGTCGTTTAAGGTGATCCTGATGGAGTGACAGCAATTACCGACATTTATAGGTTCCAATTTCCTTCGAATTGGCTTTACAGAATTGAAAACCCATTTACATGTTTAAAGTACAGAAATAATGTGCGGAATGGTAAATTTAAGACTAAAAATTTAAAAAATTGAAAAAAAATTACATTTGATACTACTTGGTGTTGCACCTTTTGTATCTTTGTAACCGCATCATTTTCGCGATAGCAATACTTGCCATTCTTTCAAATGTGCATTATCAGTATAAAAAATTATCAGTTTTAAGTAATGAGCCGCGCGAGATAAAACTATGAGAAAGTATAGAAAAACGGGTGTTTAAGAATCGAAGCACACCGTGCATACGCGCTTATGTGGATCGTAGGGGCTGGAAATGGTGGTATTGGTGGTGGTGGCGGCAGCGACGGCGGCGGAGGCGTCGTTGGTAGAGGGCTGGAGAGAACGGGTTACGGAAGCGGAGGAGGTGACGGTGGCGGTGAAAGAGGAGGAGGAGGAGGAGAAGGAGGCTATGGTGGTGGCGGTCGACCGCAGCCACGTGCACGACGCACGCAACGGCGCGTCACGCACAACGAGAAGCGCTATCACTCAGGTAGCGCCACGCACTATGTAGGCTCCACGAACGAGCGTATCTCTGAGTCGCGGCGAGTTAGAGGACGTTAACGCGCGCATATATACGCGTTATTGATTGTGTGTCGCAATTCTGTTTTAATTTCAGCTTTTTAGCTTTTTTGCCCTTTCGATGAGTCATAGAGAATTTGTTTCATAGAGTATTTTTTTTTCTTTCCGATTAGATTAGAACACAGTAGAGTTCGGTAATTTGCAAAGTGTTCTTTAATCACTGTGCGTTTCGTACTTTCGTCTTTGTATGCACGCACACACACGTGTACACACATGACACGAATGACACGATTTTAGCTACAAGAACGATGCGAGTTTCCTCCCCTCCCCTGTCGAAATTGTTGTTCTCGATGAGAAATCCTGAGATGACGATACGTTCCCTTTCGCCTCAATCTCATTGTGTTCTATCTGTGCCGTTTCCGCATCCAAATTTTTTTTTTTACAAAAGTAGATGTGAATCCCCTCGGAATGGTTACACTCCCCATTTTTTCTCTCTGCGCACCATGGAAAATTGTTAAAAGCAAAACGAGTTTCGTCCGTCGTGCCGCTTGCACTTATATATCTTTCTCCTCCGTGTAGCTTGCCTGCTTTACTCCCTGTATTTCTCTCGCGTGTGTTGCCTCGAGACGCTTTTGCACCTTTAGATACCTTTGTAATTTGACATAGCCAGGCGGTAGCCGAGACCGGTTGTTCCACCTTCGGGTGACTCAAGATTGCAGCCAGCCAGCCGGCCTGCCTGCCATCCATCGGCATTCTCCCTATTCAGCCGACTGCGTCGTGTTATCCGCGAGCGTGCAACATTTCCATTTTTTCATCGCATCCTCGTCGATAGAGATTCCTTCGCATAGATCGCGGAGATTGCGTGCCGCGGATCTACATCCTACATCATGCATTTCGCGACAGGGATCCTCGTCGTCGCGGCACCTCGCGGTAGACCGAGAGACTCTCGATGTTGATCGTCAGACACTTTCTTATGACTTTCGAAAAAAAAATCCTTTTTTATTTTTTTTCTGCGCGAAACGCGCGACCGAATTTGATATCGCCGTTCGATATGTAGTGCGTGGTAAATTCACATAACAGGATGATCCGTACGACTCTTCTGAAATTACCCGGTGATTATTCCAACTGAATCACGCCACCGAGACCGGCCCTCCTTCTCCTCCGACCTTCCTGTGCGTCGCGCCACGGACGATCGATACGAGTCACATTTACGAGATGCAGCATCCGATGGTGGAATGACCAACCGTCAATGGCGCAATTAAACCGCAAGATTATTACCCCCTCACATCCGGATAAATAACGCACTACCACGGCATGTAAATCGTGGAAAATCTGGGCCTTTGGCGAGGATCGGCGCTTAACCGCTTGGAACCCTATTCCCTAGAGTCGCGAAGACCCCAAGGATCCTTGTTAACGTAAAAATGGTTGGATTTGTTTCTTCCAACGCTTTCCGCTGGGACTGACTCGCGCGATTAACGATAGCGAAGTAGAGATAGAGAATGCACTAACTCCAAAGGGTTTCCAAGTTCGAGCGCTCGTTTATTTGGGTGCGACGAGACCGAGGGAAGGCGAACGACGACAGCTCTCGCCAAGCCGAAAGCCGAGCCGAGCCGACCTCTCGTAGCGTCCCTTCTTTGTCTATGTGCCGTTGTTGTTGTTGTGTTGCATGCAGGCGGCCGACTAGCGCCCGGAGGAATCGCCAGTCCCCCGGGTTCTGGTGGCTCCACAGGGAACATTGGGAACTCGAACTCGGCTGCTGCAGCGGCGGCAGCGGCGGCGGCGGCGGCAGCTAGACGCGGTAATCGCAGACTCACACGCAATGAGAGCCGTTACCATTCCGGTGAGTACACCTCTGGCACTAGATATACAGGGGGACCATTCGGGTAGCAACAGTGGGTAATCGCTAGTTCAACTCCTTTTCCACCGTCCTGTTCGAAAATCATTCTAATTGTTCGAACGGTTACACCAAATACACACATCCCTTTTCGTGGAATTGCAATGAATGTTATGGAGAGAATCGAAAGAAACAATATCTGTAAGAATTTGTTCAACCCTTAAAGGCTATACTTCGAGTCTCAACCACTTGAGACTACGCTATCCATATATGGGCCTCGCAACTTTGATTGCGTATAATTCTGGGTCTGATAAACCGAATTTTAAAAAGTTATATATATACACCCAAAAAAAAATATTCTGCAGTTTAGCGGTTCCTGGTTCATGCTAGAGGATTTTCCTCTGAAATAGG